TATTCAAGTATTTATTAACACTGATTTATTCATAAATTTTAATTTTTATTGTATCATAAATTCTTAGATTTTCAATTATGTTAAACAATCGTCGATAACAATTCTTAAAGAGATTAATATTCTTTAACGAGTTTATAAAATTTTGATGTCATTTTTTATGAAATATTAAAAGAATAGGCCTACAGTAATATGTTTTCAAAGCTCTATTTTATTTTAATAACTATTATGGCTATCTTCTTCTTGTTTGTGTTTAATAACTATTTTTATTGTATACAAAAAGCTACATGGATGAATCAATATATCTGTATTGGTACACAGGATATGATGTATATAAATAGATGCATTTCTGATATTACAAGATGAATATATATCTTAAAATATAACTCTTAAAAAGCCTCATTTATTTCATTCACAAAATGACAACAAAACTTCTTCTGTACATTTCTTCAAAGTGTTTAGTGCAAACTTGATATCACTGTTATCTAGACTAGCAGATATACAAAGTCTAAGACTAGGTCTCGGTAAAAATCTTTCAGTTTCCAAATAGACAGGCACTATAATTGCCAAGTTATTTTCTATACACTTATTTGAAATTGCAGATAGTAATTTCTCCTCAATGGCACAATCTTTTTGCTCCTTTAAATATACATGCTTCAAAGGTGATTCTGTGGAACTAGAACACTGTAACATTAGGATTTCTTTAAGACCATTATGCATCAATAAGGCATTATTTTTCAAAGACTGAAATATTTCTACGTTATTTTCAATCATATCTAAAGAAGTGATAGCAGCAGATGCCAAAAGAGGTGGTTGAGACGCTGAGAAACAGTAGCCAAGACCAGATAAACGTTGATGATCAATGATAAAGGAGGCTCCTACGCAAAAACCACCAATAGTTCCTATAGCCCATTCTAATGATCCTAAAAAAAATATACAATATATATATAAATATTATATACGAATATATAATATTATATAGGCGTTCATATATTAAAAAGAAATATTTGGCTTTAATAATGGCTTCTTACCCATTATCATGTCTATTTCGTTTATAGGAATGTTAAAGTATTCAGTAACACCTTTTCCATATAGGCCAATGGTCCCAAATGATATTGACTCATCGATAAAGATTCTTAATTTATACTTTTTACACAAAGCTAACAATTCTGGTAAAGGACAGATATTTCCTGTATTCATATAAATACCCTCTATAATCAAAAAGCGTTTGATCTTTGCACCCTTTTTAGGATGTCTTTTATCTATTTCCTCTTGCTTCATTAAAAGATTACGTAAATCTTGTACATCATTGTGTTTGAAATATTGGATATTTCCTCGAGATGCATCCAGTCCTTTCTGTATAGCAAAATTTACTCGCTCGTCCACAAATATTAAGTCTTTACGTTTACAGTAGGCTGGGATTGCAGACGACACAGTGGCAAATCCATACGAGTATATTATAGCTTCTTCCACATCCATAAATTTAGCTAAACGTTCTTCTAGTTCAAGATGTACGTCGACGGTTCCATAGAAACCTCGTGGTCCGCAAGATCCAACGCCGTATTTCTTTATAGCCGCTGCAGCACTTTCTATCAGTTCTGCTTTGTCGCTTAAACCTAAGTAGTTATGTGTACCCAAATTAAGGCAATTTTTTCCATCAACTATTACTCGCTTTCCAACCTTGGAAGTGATACATTTCAGACTTAACGAAGGATGATTCTTTGGTGATTCCGGTACAAGAGACTCCGGTCGCCACTCTGCTAATTTGTTCTCCACCAACTCTTTCGAAGGTACTGAGTTACTTCGTTTCTTAGAAATAAACCATACTATCCAAAGCACCAGAATTGCTTCTAACAAGGTGTGGTAGTGCGATAAACCATTCCGCAGTACTTCCACTGATTCAACAAATAAGAGGTTCGTGTTCATTTTTCTTGACTAGTCCGAGTGATACTGGCACTTTTTTATTGTACGAAAAAGTATAAATTGACCCGAATTAAAGTCAACTATAATGAATTCGCGAAAACAAGCAGATAACGATAAGCTCACTACCAAGTTCTTGGCTCCTCTTGGCGTAGCTCCGCTTGACAGCCTTCGCGCCAATAAGGTTAAATTAAGTCCATGAGATAGTCGTAGCCTTTAGATGGTTATATACGTTACATAGAAGAACGAATAATAAGCAAATCTGTATTTTAATAATTAATGGACTATTAATGCAGTTGCTTAAAGGAGCGGACCAATCACGTGTCGAGTGTGATAAACACAGCAACATGGCATCTTTTACATTTTGACATTTGATTGGTGCGTCTCTTTGATTACCAAATTAATTGATACAAGGGTATGTTATTCCGGTGGTAGACCACTGCGCAGGAATTGGAGTGGTGGGGGAGTCTAAATGTTGACGTCATCACCTCGGCTGTTTCCGGAGCGGTTCGTGTAGGTTCGGCTCCTTGATAATCGTTTTCGTTATCGTTGTCGTACGTGCATCAGTGATAAACAATAAAAAGAATTTTCGAAAATGAGCTGTGCAATAGAAGGTTGTAAGAATTATAACCGAAAAACGAGAAATATGCCAGGAAGAAAAGTTCAATACTTCTCTTTCCCGAAGGATAATGCAATGGTTTTGAAGTGGCTGGAAGTTTGCAGGAAGCAAGATCTCTCCGTTGCCAAAGGTAAAATACTATGAAAATAAAAGCTCAAGAGTACTATTCAATATTTCAGCGATGTATTGGACAAGTTTCTATAACTTTAGCTCATCCATATTAGTCATTCCTATAATTTCATGCTCGCAAATTACTTATCTACATTCTTACATATTAAGTTCTATCAATTTTAAACCCTCTTCTAATTTCGTCAATTCTTCATTTATTTCATTATATAACTGTAATCAATAGTGCTATACCGGTTCCTTTTCTTTCTTTCATAATCTTCGTCCTTTAACCTTTTCTTTGCCTACTTCCGAATACCAGTTTCGTTTTACATTCCCGTTGTT